GGGCCGGGCCGAGGTGAGGAGAGGAGGGGTGCCTCGCCCTTGGCCGTGGCCTCTCTCTCTCCCCGAGGCCGCACTCGCGTGTGCGTGGGGCGCTGAGGTTGAGTTTTTTAAGGCGGGCCGCTGGCAGAGCCCTTTCGCGCACCTGGCAGGGGGTCTCTTGTGGTGATTTGGGCTGACCGCAAGGTCAGAAGTTACACCTTGAAACTGCCCCGGTGGTCGCACGGGGGCAGGCCCCTGGTGGGCCGGGTGCAGGGTAGCTCTGAGGACGCGGGGAGGCTGCCCAAGGGATCGGGCGCAGTTGAAGCCTACCCTGGGGTGGTAGGGCCCGGCTCCAGTTCTCCCCGTCGGCGGAAAGGGCACGGCTGGGGCTCCCCAGGCAGCGGTTAAGGGATGGGGGGCGTGTGGTAGATGATGCGCAGGGCACAGCTAGGGATGCGGGTGGACAGTGGGAAAAGTGCAAGTGCCGCCTGGCTTGAAAAGATAAATCAGGGTGAAAACGTGATCAGCTGAAAAAAAAGTGAGACGATAATGGAGGGGAGAGCCTTGGTAGATGGACAAAAAGAGGGATCACATCTACAGCAGCAGATGGGTGATGTTGGTTCAGGTTCTGTTGCCTGCACTACTTTAGCCTAGTGGCTCATTTGTCTAGGGAGTGACTATTTAGCATGCATGTGATAGCTTTATCACTTCTAAGGCACCCTGAATTGGCTGTTTCCAGCACAGACTTCAGTTTTGGTTTTTCTATTCCAGTGACCTGTGAAAACTGAGCTCTATGTAATCAAGCACTGAATAAAACTCCCTTTCATCTTGTTTTGCATGCATTCCTTGTGTACCCCGCAACCGTTAATGCCCAAATTTTGAAAGAAAACTGAATTTTCACAAGTTTTGAAGTCAAAGGCATGTGAAGCAATGCCTTTTTATTGAAAAATACTATGCCAAGCCATGAGGCAGTTAAGGCATATTCTTATGAGGTTTTCCTTGCTCTAAACAGCTTTTCAGTAAGCAAGTTCTGATGAAAGATAAAGTTCAAAATGTTCCTCTAAATAAGTTCTTAAATGCTCTAAATTTAAGAAAAAAAAAACCCAACATAAAAAACCAACAACAACCAAAAAGCCCCTGCACTATATAGGCTGTTGCAGATTCGGGTTAGGTAGAATCTGTTCTGATCAGCAGCACATGGTCAAGGATTACCCTCAGAGAACAGGGGTTCTCAAAAACAGAAGGTAATCAATCTTTTGTTGAGAGGGTGATTCTCTTTCTTCTTTCCCCTCATACTGTGGGGAAATATGCTGACTGTTAAAGCCATATCAGCTCTTCTGGAGTTACCAGCCACCATTGCTAAAATACCAAGAAAGTATTAAATCTGGCAGAACTCCATTAGCAGACTGGAGTGTATCTATCCCATACGAGGAGGTGCTGAGGAGGAGGTGTGCCTTTAGAAATATTTTGAGATGTGTCCTGACTTCTGAACAACTTCTAACTGACATCACCAGGTTTTGATTCAAGCCTGAAGGGCCTGTGGGATGTTTGACATTTCAAAGTTGGGGTAGAAATTGAATATTCGGATGCCAGATTCATGTTTGGTCTTAATTTGTTTGATCACTGCTTCTAAATGAACATTTCTGATGACTGAGTCTGTTGGTGCCAGTGATGGATGGGGGTATTAACGAGAGATTGGAACACTGCAGTAAGTGGCAAGAGCATGGCTAGTTACAATGAAAGCAAACAGGAGCTCTATGGCTGATTTTTCTCCCTCTCTCTCTGGATAAAAAAGTAGATTCAGCATTCTGCAACATCCCAGCTGCAATGATTTAGCCCACAAAAATGTGCCTTTCTGCTGTTCTGCTAGCACTGTGTAATTTATTCTGATTTACAGAAAATATTTCTGAACCTTCACACTGTCCTGTTAAATCTCATGTCATTTGAAAAGGGAGAAGGAAATTACAGCTGTGGTACAAAATCAATCCATGCAGTTTTGAATTTGTTGAAATGTTATTTAAATCTCATCTGGCTGTGCAAAGAGCACAGGGGTTTGAATAAGTTACGGTGTTTCATCCCCAGAAGGAATTGAACTGGTAAGAATAATACTGAACATCAGGGGTCAGCAACCCATCCAGGGTGGTGTGCTAACCTTTTTTTTTAACTTTTCCAAAAGAGAGTTTATTTGCCAGCAAAAACTCTACAGGAGTTGGACCTGCTTAGAAGTTTTGAGCTGCTGCTGATCAGTGGCAAGATACTACCTTGCCTCCATATGAGGCAAGGGTTTCTAGCTTCCACACAGCTCTGAAGTTGGTGGGAGCCAGGACTAGGAAC